AAAAGTTCGTTATGTTATTATTTATTTATTTATTTATTTATTTATATTTTGAGATGGAGTCTCACTCTGTTGCCTAGGCTGGAGTGCAGTGGTGCAATCTCGGCTCACTGCAACCTCTGCCTCCCGGGTTCCAGCGATTCTCCTGCCTCAGCCTCCTAAGAAGCTGGGATTACAGGCACACACACCACGCCTGGCTAAATTTTTGTATTTTAGTAGACATGCGGTTTCACCTTGTTGGTCAGACTGGTCTCGAACTCCTGACCTCGTGATCCTCCTGCTACAGCTTCCCAAAGTGCTGGGACTGCAGGTGTGAGCCACCGCACCTGGCCCATTACATTATTTTGTAAAAAGTCAGTGTGACCCTTTGACAAATTAGAATGGTTTAACAATCTTGGTTAGGCTGGGTGTGGTGGCACATGCCTGTAATCCCAGCACTTTGGGAGCCCAAGGTCAGGAGTTCGAGACCAGCCTGGTCAACATGGTGAAACCCTGTCCTTACTAAAACTACAAAAATTAGCCGAGCATGGTGGCAAACTCTGTAATCCCAGCTACTTAGAAGGCTGAGGCAGGAGAATCGCTTGAACGGGAGGCAGAGGTTGCAGTGAGGAAGATCGTGCCACTGCACTCCAGCCTGGGGGGTGACAGAGTAAGACTCTGTCTCAAAAAAAAAAAAAAAAAAAAAAAAGTACAAAAAACCACAGGAAAAGGGGAGCCTACCATTGTGCATACCGCTTCACCAAAACGTGATTAAGAATATTACAAAGGACTTCCCTGATCTAAATGTAAATACATTTCACTCTCTGTTTCTAAGCGGGCTCCAAGATCCTCCAGGCTTTGGCAGAAAATTTGACTTAACTGTTGAAACCTTTGAGCCCAAATATTCTGACCTTATCAATTAATTCCCATGCTGGTGAAGAAGGCAAGGCCACTAACTGGTTGCAAAAGGCAAATTGGAAGGATTTTCAAAGAGACTGAAGCAGGACTGGCGCAGTGGCTCACGCCTGTAATCCCAGACTTTAGGGAGGCTGAGGAGGGCGGATCACGAGGTCAAGAGATCGAGACCATCCTGGCGAGCACGGTGAACCCGTCTCTACTAAAACTACAAAAAATTAGCCGGGCGTGGTGACGGCGCCTATAGTTCCATACTCGGGAGGCTCAGGCAGGAGAATGGCGTGAACCCGGGCAGGCGGAGCTTGCAGTGAGCTGAGATCGCGCTACTGTACTCCAGCCTGGGCGAGGAGCGAGACTCCATCTCAAAAAAACAAACAAACAAAAAAAAAAAAAACAGAGACTGAAGCAGAACATGAAATGTTCACATTTTAGCCAAATATCTCCATGTTGCCATTCCCCAGGTCCTTCCTAAAATGCAAATTGGAGGATAATTCAGCAATGTACTAAAAAGCCAGACAAATCTGTCTTTGCTTACTTAAAATGGTTTGAGAGCCAGGCATGGTAGCTCATGCCTGTAATCCCAGCACTTTGGGAGGCCGAGTCGAGTGGAACACTTGAGGTCATGAGTTCAAGACCAGCTGCCAACATGGTGAAACCCTGTCTGGACTAAAATACAAAAATTAGCCAGGTGGCTACTCAGGAGGCTGAAGCAAAAAATCACTTGAACCTGGGAGCGGAGGTTGCAGTTAGCTGAGATCCTGCCATTGTAATACAGCCTGGGTGACAGAGGGAGACTCTGTCTCAAAAAGAACAAAAGAAAGAAGAAAAAATTAGCAGAGTAGTAGAAATATAACGTACATGAGAATGATAATCATGAAGACAATCTGTATTCTAGAATAGTAAGGGAACCTATTCCATTAGGGAGCCGACTGAAAACATCAAATCCCAGTTCACACCCCAGGGTATGATGTCACGTGCCTGTAGTCCCAGATACTCGGAGGATTAGTAAGGAGGTTTGCTTGAATTCATGAGGCCAAGGCAGAAGTAAATCCTGATCATGCCACTGCAGTCCAGCCTGGGTGACAATGAGACCTTGTCTCAAAAACAAACAAACAAATGAAAAAATGCACAAAACCAAACAACAACAAATTATCCCTCACTCTGAAATGACAGTGGCAAACATCACTTTGCTATTAGAAAATTAAAACACCCCTTCTTGCTAAAACACTCCCTCTTGCTATCAACCTGCCTCTCGCTCTAACATGTCTGACCCATGGTTTAAAATGCCCAAAGCTGATGTACTCAAATTGTAGTACACTTACCTGTTCTGCAACAGCATTTATTTAGTCTGTAGGAGATCACCATCCATGGCCCTATAAATGTCTAACAGCATGGAATGATGAAGGGACAGAGTCCTTAGGATATGTATGTATATAGCTCTGAAAAACCCAACATTGGGCGACTTCCCTCAAACTTTTCACTAGGCATGACCACTGTGCTATTTTAGATAGAGATTCTGTGGGGCAAAACCTGAGAATTATCTGCCTGGCTATCAAGAAGATAGTCCTTGCATTTTTGGGGAGTGAACACCTTTGCTCAAGGGAGTGTTTCCTCCCAGGATTACAAATCTTTCTGTAACTTCAGGAAACATTGCTGATGAAAACCAGGCATGGTGGCTCTGGCCTGTAATCCAGTGACTCGGGGTTGAGGCAAGAGGATCACTTAAGTCCAGGAGTTCGAGGCTGCAGTGAGCTATGATGGTGCCACTGCTCTCCAGTCTGGCCACAGGGCCAGACACTGTCTGTGAAAGAAAAAGAAAGAAATACATTGCTGATGAAACTGCGGCCTCTTATGCAGCTCAATAAAAAGCTATTTATTCACTGGCTAAGGTTGTACTAGACAATCACATGACTTTAGATGATATATTTAGCGGAGCAGGGAGATGTATGTGTGGTGGCAAATACCTTTTGTTGCATATATATAAATATTCCCCATGCAGTAGAACCTTCTCTATAAAAAGTCCGTTCAGTTGGTTGTAGGGCCTAGGGCTATTTTTATTTCTCAATCCTGAGAAGGTAAGGCTGGATTAATGAAGATTCTCTGCAGGTGTAAATTTCCCCTACAAAAGACAGTTTTGCAGAGTTAATTCTGTTTGCTGGCTCTCTGACAGCCATCTTAAAATATGCCAAAGAAATACATTCTGGTGTAAAATATTTTGATTTCTTCATCTATCTACAGCTTCACCATGCTGACAGCCTCCAGTCCAAGCGTACCTGAAGCCTTTCTTTTTAAAAAGCTTTCCCACCCTCCTGACTGCCTCAAGTCTCTGCCAAAACACAAGTCACAGTGACTGACTCCCTGCTATAGCAAGCTCAGAATAAATTGCCTTTGCTTTTTCCATTTGGTTGGTCTTTGTTTATTTGCAGAAGCTTCCGTGTAGAGTTGACAAGGACTCCATCTTTCACCACACCTCTGTAGTTTCCTCTGAGCCCTTTTCTCTGTTAGTTCTTGGCCTGCCAAGTCCAGTTTAGAAAAGAATACTGTTGAGTCTAGTTTAGCAGGAGTCCTCCCAACCACTTTTGATAGCTAATCAAGTTCCTCTTAGTAATTTTCCATCCACTGACTTTCTTATCTACCAGTTGGCTATAATCTTCAACTCCTCCTGCTGTATTTCAGGTTGAGCTCAGTTCTTTGGTGGTCTATCTTGCCTATTGTAGCACATACAATAAAATCTGTCTCATGTTTTTAACAAGTGTCCAGTGTAGTCCCTCAAAAACTACCTTTGCAAAATTATGACAGTAAGAGAAAGCTGACATGGCTGGCCCCATCTTGGTTCTAGCCTCACAGGTTAGCTGGCTTTGCTTACTCCTGTGCAATTTCTCCCAAGCTGTCTTTGGGAAAAATTGAGTTTATAGTTTAAATCAGCAGTCTCCAACCCCCAGGGCACAGGACAAGTACTGGTCCATGGCCTGTTAGGAACCAGCCGAACAGCAGGAGGTGAGCTGCAGGCCTTCAAGCATTACCACCTGAGCTCCGCCTCTTGTCAGATCTGCATCAGCATTAGATGCTCATCGGAGCTCGGACCCTATTGGGAACTGCACATGTGAGGGATCCAGATTGCACACTCCTTATGAGACTGTGACTAATGCCTGATGACCTAAGGTGGGACAGTTTCATCCGGAAACCATCCACCACCCCTTCCATGAAAAAAACTGTCTTCTGTGAAACCAGTCCCTGGTGCCAAAAAGGTTGGGGACAGTCAAAAAGGTTGGTGTAAATGATAACCTTCCCCAAAACTAAATTACCTCTGTAAAACTCATGAAAGGCCACAGTTAGAAGGATGAAAGAGGCGTGAATTCTACTAAGATGTATGCCCATTAAATAATTACCAGCCATTATTCCAGAGATCGCAAGATTTGCAGCTTCCCCAATTACTGCTGTGAAGAACATCACTATTGTAGAACCTAAGATTGGCCTCTTGAGTTGTCTTTTCAGGCTTTTGCATTTCTGACTACTGGATGGCACCATTTGGCCTGAAAATCAACCAGTCCCTTAGCCCCCACCAGAAGCTGACTCAATGCCGGAGGGCCATTTCCACGTCCTGTGATTTCATCCCCAACAATCAGCACCGCCCAAGCCCTAGCCCCCTCCCCACCAAACTATCTGAAACACCCATTGCCTCCAGGCTTTCAGTGAGATTGATTTGGGTAACAACTCTCTCTCCCACATGTCGTGGCTGGCCTGTGTCAATGAAACTCTTTACTGCAATGCCATGGTCTCCATGAATTGATTTTGTGTGTACATTAGGCAGGAAGAACCCATCAGGCGGTTACATCTGCAGGATGGTGCCAGTTCTTTCCACAAAGGCTGGTCAGATACCCAGAAAGTATTTCTCCACTACTGCCTGGACAATGTGTCTCCCTGTCAATCTCCAGGGAATGGGGCCTGGATCAAGTATTTAGCATTCAGCAGTTACTACACGGTCACATAATCCCTCATTTTTAATATTTTGCCATGCCTTCCAGTGGCCTAACTGGTCACCATGCCACAGAATCTTTACTTTATGATCTCCAAGGAGAACTCTCCACTCCATGTTTTGTGATTTGAGCAATGGAATAGAATCTGATACTGGTGGGATGCGGGAGGTCCCCAGACACTGGGGGAATCTCGACCCCAGCTGTGTTGTCCAGGCTCTTGACACCACCTCAAGAATGAAGTGAAGGATGAGTCAGCAAATAGTGAAAGAAGAGATTTATTGCAAAGCAAAAAGTACGCACTCAAGAAAGGGGAGTTTGGGTATATCCAAGACAGAACAATGGGTTCTGGGGTTTCATCTTGATGGGTTTCTTCAACCAAGGAGTGGAATATTCATGAAAATTCCCAGGTAAAAGTGGAAATTTCTCGGAACTGTGGTGCGATCCATTTTTACATCAAATAATGATCTCAGAACCGTCATGGCACTGGTAGGTGCGTGATTTAGTATGTTAATGAGCATATAATGAGGGCCTAGGTAAAACCTACGTCTAATCCAGCCCTACATTGGGTCCAGTCTTAGCCAGCTTGGTCCACACCCTGGTTTTTCAGCGTCTTATCAGCCCATAGCCTCAAGTCATGTAAATCTACTGCCTAAATTTGTTATCCTGTGACCACCCTATATTATTCCTGTCTCAAATCTACTTCTAAATATTCAAATGGCCTTTGACTTGAGCAGCTCAACTTTGCTTACTTCACAGTGTTTCCTGCATAATATATAAAAAAAGATGATCCAGGCATTTGTTAAACATCTCAAATAAGATGTATCCCGGGTAGTTGTGTCAAATTTGGATTATTTTGGTTTTGTCTTTGCAGAATATAAAAAACTAACACAAGGTAAGGGCTAAGGTCTGGAGATGGCTGCCCAAGAGATGACAAAGTCCAACACCACGCTTGAGAGTGTCCAATCATCTCTTCTGGGGCAGCATATTTCTCTACAATCCTGAATTTGGAAAACAAGCAACAAGATTCATGAAACTGGACAACTGTCTTTATAACATTACCAGTGATAAAACCAGTAAGGAAGGCTGGTTTGCAGTCATCCGACCTGCCTCTTTACTTTCATAAATACGGTTTCTCTCTGATAGTAAACGGCTTCCAATTTCAAGCGGAATGCTACATCACAAGGATAAGGATGTGAAGAGAACCGGTTTCTTTTGTAATCCTAAACGTTCCGCACAGGAGATTTTGCGAATTAAAAGCCATTATTTGAAGAAGGGTGCCCAGGATCCATCTGGCCGCGGAAAGGTTGCTCCGCAACACAGGCTACGGACCTGCTTCTTTGGGAGAGAACAGATGCCGGGGCGGGAGGGAAAAAGGGAGAGGCAGACGTCACTTCCCCCTGGCCGCTCCTGCAGCGGATTGGGCGGCTGAGTGGCAGAAAGGCAGACGGGGACTGGGCAGGGCACTGTCGCTGACATCACGGATAAGGCGACTTCTATGTAGATGAGGCAGCGCAAGGGCTGCTTCTTCGCCACCTGCTGCTTCGGCACGAAGGAGTTTCCATGCTGTGGAGCGGGTTCAGGACCGTTGGTAGGACTTGAGAAGCCCAGCTGTGTGTCAGGGCTAGAAGGGCTCGGGAGTGCGCGTGGCAAGTGACCGTGAGTGTAAAGAGTGAGGCGTATGAGGCTGTGGCGGGGCAGAGGTGTAGAAACTCATACTTACCTGGCAGGGGAGATACCATGATCACGAAGGTGGTTTTCCCAGGGCGAGGCTTATCCATTGCACTCCGGATGTGCTGACCCCTGCGATTTCCCCAAATGTGGGAAACTCGACTGCATAATTTGTGGTAGTGGGGGACTGCGTTCGCGCTTTCCCCTGACTTTTTTGTGTTTAAAGAATAGACTGTACAGTAAGGGTTGTTTCTTTCGTCTGTTCGTTTGTAGTTTGGGGTAGTTTTCCAAGTGTAGTTTTAACAGTGGATGACTTGGGAATAGGAAATAGCATGTCGCTTCTCTGCCAGAGGTTGATATGAGCGTCAGCGGTTGTAACACAAGCTAACTTGAGTGAGGGCCGCACAGCTCTTTCCTTTCTAAGGACCAGCTTTTTGCAGAGATTGGTCCAAAGTCTCCAGTCTCTTGGGTTCTCATTCTCTGTGTTTTTCTAACCTCCAGTCACTTTTCACACAGCCTCTGTTTCTAACGGCAGCTCCCACACGCGTTTGTAGGATTTCTGTGCTATCGGGGAATGTGTTCTCACCTCCTAGATCCAGGTAGAAACTACGTAGACGGGGGCTGTTCTTTGGGAAGAAAGCAAGGCCTTTGGGGCTCTACTGTCCCCGTTGGGTTGTAGACATAACACGCTTACTTTGCGTAGGGAAACGGCTCTGCCGGTGCCCAGCTGCCCTAGCCCATATTCATCCAGGCCCGCAGGTCAGAACCTGTCTTGGCCGAAATGCGCTGCGATCCTCCCTGAAGTATAAGGCGGGAAGTTTTATGTGGAGCCGGGTCCAGTTTCCTCCTATCTCCTGCCGTTTACGTATCTTGTCTTTCTTCAGACTTTATTTAAGCGACAGCTTCTTGTTTGAGGTCTCGCTTACACATCCTACATCCATTGCCAGGCAACTTTCTAGATAGCACCCCGACCCATCCTTCCCACCTCCAAGCAGCCCTTTCCTATTTCTGGTGCCAGTGTCCTCCCGTGTCCCTCTTTCTTCAGGCCCTCGCTTATCACCTTCATGGGCAGAAACTATTTAGCCCTCTCTCAACCTGCGGTGTACACCTGACACGGGTCAGTACCCTGGCAAATTCCTTAATACCCCTTCTCAAATTGCACTGTAAATGCATCTCTTTTTAACTCCCAGAAGTATTTGATTGGTTTTGTCCCTGCACTACATGAATTCCACTACAGAAGAAAACCCCAGGGCTAGCGATGGTGGTTCTGAGCATTGTGCCGGCTTCTCCCAGGGTATGTTTTCTGACCTCACCTACTTCTGATCAACTGAGGTCAGGAGTTCGAGATCAACCTGACCAACATGGTGAAACTCCGTCTCTACTAAAAATGCATTAAAAAAAAAAAAAAAAAAAAAAAAAGAATAGCCGGGCGTGATGGTCTGTGTCTGTAATCCCAACTACTCAGGAGGCTGAGGCAGGAGAATCCCTTGAACCCGGGAGGCGGAGGTTGCAGTGAGCTGAGATCGCGTCATTGCACCCCAGTCTGGGTGACAGAGCAAGACTCTGTCTAAAAAAAAAAAAGAAAAAAGAATTAGTCCATCTGAGACACATTATTGGAGACAGTACAATCCTGACAATCCTGCATCCAACAGGCACTTGGTGCAGATCTGAACCCACTGAGCTATTGGCTCTTGTTCCCCATGTTCTATTAAGTATCATGAGCAGAAATTGAGCTCTTTGGCTTTTACCCACTAAGTACGACTATAGGACAGGACTCTGCCTCTCACACACACATTATTGCATCATTATTTTTTTGCCATCAATGTGGGTTTTTGGTTTTGAGGTTATGAAGTGAATTTCTGGGTACAGTCTCTGTTGGGTCGCGTTGACCCTTGTCCCTGTTGACCATGACAGCTAATCTGGTCTGTGAGTCTTTTTTATTGCCCCTTTATTGTCCTGAGAATAATGGTATTTCCTGATACTTGAGACTGCAGCAATGATAAGTTGTTCAGATCTTGTCTTTCCAATGTTTGGTAAAAATATTATGGGTCCAATAGTTGTCAATACCTGCAAGAGTGGCATCTCTATTACAAGTGTGATGTTACTATTCAATGTCCCCCCTCCCACCCAACTTCGTTCCAAAGGAGCTCTTGGCTTGAACAAATTTACTATATCTAAAAGACATCTTAGTACAGGAAGGAAACTAAATCTGTAGCATGTAAGGAGCAGTTTTCTTTGATTGGTGTATTCAGGTTTCTAACCAGCTGAAAAATTCCAATACATGTCCTTTAAGGATTAAGTTTAAAGCACACTACAGAAAGGAGAGAAAAGATTTATATGATCACATACAAGCAATGGAATCAGCACTTTTCACAACTATACAAATCAAATTTAATAATCTCCAGAACATTAAGGAAGTTCAGTTTAATGAAAATGAATGAAAAGAAATTATTCACCCACTGTTACATGCCCTAGAAAGAGAATGTTCTGCCCAACTCGAAAGGGTATCACAATATTACTCAGATTTTCAGCAATGAAGGCCCTCCAAGGATCTAATGATGTTCATATTTTTCAGTTTATTTCCTTCACTGATAAACATTGTTAATAGATACCATTGCCTCTCTTTTCACCTGAAGTGATGTTACTTAGCACAATTGGTTTCTTGAGAATGCCCCCTAGTTTGGTGGAAGTAATTTTCCTGCTTTATAAATATAGGATATTTTCTTTTTTTTTTTTTTTTTTTTTTTTTGAGACAGAGTCTTGCTCTGTCGCCCAGGCTGGGGTGCAGTGGCCGGATCTCAGCTCACTGCAAGCTCCGCCTCCCGGGTTTAGACCATTCTCCTGCCTCAGCCTCCCGAGTAGCTGGGACTACAGGTGCCCGCCACCTCGCCCGGCTAGTTTTTTGTATTTTTTTAGTAGAGACGGGGTTTCACCGTGTTAGCCAGGATGGTCTCGATCTCCTGACCTCGTGATCCGCCCGTCTCGGCCTCCCAAAGTGCTGGGATTACAGGCTTGAGCCACCGCGCCCGGCCAATATAGGATATTTTCTCATGAAACAAATTGCCATACTCTTTCGGTGAAGTGAATAGACAGATTAGGTCTCTAAAATGTTAAAGGAGTCACTGCCCCAATTATCTTAGGAACAATAATAATTACTTATATAAAATTAAAATAAGAAAATTAAGCCAGGTATGGTGGCTCATATCTGCAATCCCAGCACTTTAGGAGGCTGAGGAGGGAGGATCAGTTGAGGTTAGGAGTTGGAGACCAGCCTGGGCAACAGAGTGAAACCCCTTTCTCTACAAATTTTTAAGTATTAGCTAAATTTTTAAAGTTGGCAGGGCATGATGATGCATGACTCTAATCTCAGCTACTAGGGAGACTGAGGCAGGCTGCAGGGAACTATGCTTGTGCCACTGCCCTCCAGCCTGAGTGACAGAGTGAGACTCCCGGCTCAAGCCGGGCATGGCGGCTCACGCCTGTAATCCCAGCACCTTCTGAGAGGCTGAGGGGGGCGGATCACGAGGTCGGGAGTTGGAGACCAGCCTGGCCTATATGGTGAAACCCTGTCTCTACTAAAAATACAAAATTAGCTGGGTATGGTGGCACATGCCTGTAATCTCAGCTACTCGGGAGGCTGAGGCAGGAGAATTGCTTGAACCTGGGAGGCAGAGGTTCAGTGAGCCAAGTCGTGCCACTGCACTCCAGCCTGGGCGACAGAGCGAGACTCCGTCTCAAAAAAAAAAGAAAGAAAAAGAAAAAGAAAGACAATTAAGAATTTGTTGAAAATTGTTTTAGTAGAATGCTAGGCTGCATGTCTTGCATCTGTACTCCCAGCAAGTCAACAGGCTGAGGCGGAAGGATTGCTTTAGGCCAGCAGTTGGAGACCAGCCTCGGCAACAGGGCAACACGTCGTCTCTAAAAAAATACAAGTGAAGCTGAGCCAGGAGGATTTCCTGAGCCCAGAAGTTCCAATTTGGTCAGCTATGATTGCCCTGCTTCACTCTAGCCTGGATAACAGAGCAAGACCCTGTGCCTTATTTTTTATTTTATATATATTTTTTACTACTTATGCTTATTTATTTATTTGTTTTTGAGACAGCGTGTTGCTCTGTAGCCCAGGCTAGAGTGCAGTGGTGCGATCTGAGCTCACTGCAAGCTCTGCCTCCCAGGTTGAAGCTATTGCCTGCCTCAGCCTCCAGAGTAGCTGGGATTAAAGGCACACGCCACCACGCCCAGCTAATTTTTATATTTTTAGTAGAGATGGGGTTTCATCATGTTAGCCAGGCTGGTCTCAAACTCCTAACCTCCACTGATGCACCTGTCTCGGCCTCCCAAAGTGCTGAGATTACAGGTGTGAGCCACGTCGCCCAGCCTACTTATGCTTGAAATGGAAGGTTTCATTAGGGAAACATTTTCTTGTTGAATTTCTAACATGAAAAAATAATAGAGTTAGCTGTAGATTAAATTAATGGTCTCGATAGTTTGTTACAACAAATGAAATGAAGTTGATAGCAAAGAGGAATTTTTTGATTCTTTTGAACAATTTAGATAATGTAAATATTTAATATATAAAGATATGAAAAAGTTCGTTACGTTATTATTTATTTATTTATATTATTTATTAATTTATATTTTGAGATGGAGTCTCACTCTGTTGCCTAGGCTGGAGTGCAGTGGTGCAATCTCGGCTCACTGCAACCTCTGCCTCCCGGGTTCCAGCGATTCTCCTGCCTCAGCCTCCTAAGAAGCTGGGATTACAGGCACACACCACCACGCCTGGCTAATTTTTGTATTTTTAGTAGACATGCGGTTTCACCTTGTTGGTCAGACTGGTCTCGAACTCCTGACCTCGTGATCCTCCTGCTACAGCTTCCCAAAGTGCTGGGACTACAGGTGTGAGCCACCGCACCTGGCCCATTACATTATTTTGTAAAAAGTCAGTGTGACTCTTTTGACAAATTAGAATGGTTTAACAATCTTGGTTAGGCTGGGTGTGGTGGCACATGCCTGTAATCCCAGCACTTTGGGAGCCCAAGGTCAGGAGTTCGAGACCAGCCTGGTCAACATGGTGAAACCTTGTCCTTACTAAAACTACAAAAATTAGCCGAGCATGGTGGCAGACTCCTGTAATCCCAGCTACTTAGAAGGCTGAGGCAGGAGAATCGCTTGAACCGGGAGGCAGAGGTTGCAGTGAGGAAGATCGTGCCACTGCACTCCAGCCTGGGGGGTGACAGAGTAAGACTCTGTCTCAAAAAAAAAAAAAAAAAAGTACAAAAAACCACAGGAAGAGGGGAGCCTACCATTGTGCATACCGCTTCACCAAAACGTGAATTAAGAATATTACAAAGGACTTCCCTGATCTAAATTTAAATACATTTCACTCTTCTGTTTCTAAAGCAGGCTCCAAGATCCTCCAGGCTTCGGCAGAAAATTTGACTTAACTGTTGAAACCTTTGAGCCCAAATATTCTGACCTTATCAATTAATTCCCATGCTGGTGAAGAAGGCAAGGCCACTAACTGGTTGCAAAAGGCAAATTGGAAGGATTTTCAAAGAGACTGAAGCAGGACTGGGCGCAGTGGCTCACGCCTGTAATCCCAGCACTTTAGGGAGGCTGAGGAGGGCGGATCACGAGGTCAAGAGATCGAGACCATCCTGGCCAGCACGGTGAAACCCCGTCTCTACTAAAACTACAAAAAATTAGCCGGGCGTGGTGACGGCCGCCTATAGTTCCATACTCAGGAGGCTGAGGCAGGAGAATGGCGTGAACCCGGCAGGCGGAGCTTGCAGTGAGCTGAGATCGCGCTACTGTACTCCAGCCTGGGCGAGGAGCGAGACTCCATCTCAAAAAAAAAAAAACAAAAAAAAAAACAGAGACTGAAGCAGAACATGAAATGTTCACATTTTAGCCAAATATCTCCATGTTGCCATTCCCCAGGTCCTTCCTAAAAATGCAAATTGGAGGATAATTCAGCAATGTACTAAAAAGCCAGACAAATCTGTCTTTGCTTACTTAAAATGGTTTGAGAGCCAGGCATGGTAGCTCATGCCTGTAATCCCAGCACTTTGGGAGGCCGAGTCGAGTGGAACACTTGAGGTCATGAGTTCGAGACCAGCCTGCCAACATGGTGAAACCCTGTCTGGACTAAAAATACAAAAATTAGCCAGGTGGCTACTCAGGAGGCTGAAGCAAAAGAATCACTTGAACCTGGGAGGCGGAGGTTGCAGTTAGCTGAGATCCTGCCATTGTAATACAGCCTGGGTGACAGAGGGAGACTCTGTCTCAAAAAGAACAAAAGAAAGAAGAAAAAATTAGCAGAGTAGTAGAAATATAACGTACATGAGAATGATAATCATGAAGACAATCTGTATTCTAGAATAGTAAGGGAACCTATTCCATTAGGGAGCCGACTGAAAACATCAAATCCCAGTTCACACCCCAGGGTATGATGTCACGTGCCTGTAGTCCCAGATACTCGGGAGGATTAGTAAGGAGGTTTGCTTGAATTCATGAGGTCAAGGCAGAAGTAAATCCTGATCATGCCACTGCAGTCCAGCCTGGGTGACAATGAGACCTTGTCTCAAAAACAAACAAACAAATGAAAAAATGCACAAAACCAAACAACAACAAATTATCCCCTCACTCTGAAATGACAGTGGCAAACATCACTTTGCTATTGGAAAATTAAAACACCCCTTCTTGCTAAAACACTCCCTCTTGCTATCAACCTGCCCTCTCGCTCTAACATGTCTGACCCATGGTTTAAAATGCCCAAAAGCTGATGTACTCAAATTGTAGTACACTTACCTGTTCTGCAACAGCATTTATTTTAGTCTGTAGGAGATCACCATCCATGGCCCTATAAATGTCTAACAGCATGGAATGATGAAGGGACAGTGTCCTTTAGGATGTATATATATAGCTCTGAAGAAACCCAACATTGGGCGACTTCCCTCAAACTTTTCACTAGGCATGACCACTGTGCTATTTTAGATAGAGATTCTGTGGGGCAAAACCTGAGAATTATCTGCCTGGCTATCAAGAAGATAGCTCCTTGCATTTTTGGGGAGTGAACACCTTTGCTTCAAGGGAGTGTTTCCTCCCAGGATTACAAATCTTTCTGTAACTTCAGGAAACATTGCTGATGAAAACCAGGCATGGTGGCTCTGGCCTGTAATCCCAGTGACTCGGGGGTTGAGGCAAGAGGATCACTTAAGTCCAGGAGTTCGAGGCTGCAGTGAGCTATGATGGTGCCACTGCTCTCCAGTCTGGGCCACAGGGCCAGACACTGTCTGTGAAAGAAAAAGAAAGAAATACATTGCTGATGAAACTGCGGCCTCTTTTGCAGCTCAATAAAAAGCTATTTATTCACTGGCTAAGGTTGTACTAGACAATCACATGACTTTAGATGATATATTTAGCGGAGCAGGGAGATGTATGTGTGGTGGCAAATACCTTTTGTTGCATATATATAAATATTCCCCATGCAGTAGAACCTTCTCTATAAAAAGTCCGTTCAGTTGGTTGTAGGGCCTAGGGCTTATTTTTATTTCTCAATCCTGACAAGGTAAGGCTGGATTAATGAAGATTCTCTGCAGGTGTAAATTTCCCCTACAAAAGACAGTTTTGCAGAGTTAATTCTGTTTGCTGGCTCTCTGACAGCCATCTTAAAATATGCCAAAGAAATACATTCTGGGGTAAAATATTTTGATTTCCTTCATCTATCTACAGCTTCACCATGCTGACAGCCTCCAGTCCAAGCGTACCTGAAGCCTTTCTTTTTAAAAAGCTTTCCCACCCTCCTGACTGCCTTCAAGTCTCTGCCAAAACACAAGTCACAGTGACTGACTCCCTGCTATAGCAAGCTCGGAATAAATAGCCTTTGCTTTTTCCATTTAATTGGTCTTTGTTTATTTGCAGAAGCTTCCGTGTAGAGTTGACAAGGACTCCATCTTTCACCACACCTCTGTAGTTTCCTCTGAGCCCTTTTCTCTGTTAGTTCTTGGCCTGCCAAGTCCAGTTTTAGAAAAGAATACTGTTGAGTCTAGTTTAGCAAGAGTCCTCCCAACCACTTTTGATAGCTAATCAAGTTCCTCTTAGTAATTTTCCATCCACTGACTTTCTTATCTTACCAGTTGGCTATAATCTTCAACTCCTCCTGCTGTATTTCAGGTTGAGCTCAGTTCTCTGGTGGTCTATCTTGCCTATTGTAGTACATACAATAAAATCTGTCTCATGTTTTTAACAAGTGTCCAGTGCAGTCCCTCAGAAACTACCTTTGCAAAATTATGACAATAAGAGAAAGCTGACATGGCTGGCCCCATCTTGGTTCTAGCCTCACAGGCTAGCTGGCTGTGCTCATTCCTGTGCAATTTCTCCCAAGCTATCTTTGGGGAAAATTGAGTTTATAGTTTAAATCAGCAGTCCCCAACCCCCAGGGCCACAGGACAGGTACTGGTCCATGGCCTGTTAGGAACCCAGCCGAACAGCAGGAGGTGAGCTGCAGGCCTTCAAGCATTACCACCTGAGCTCCGCCTCTTGTCAGGTCAGGATCAGCATTAGATGCTCATCGGAGCTCCGACCCTATTGGGAACTGCGCATGTGACGGATCCAGATTGCGCACTCCTTATGAGACAGTGACTAATGCCTGATGACCTAAGGTGGGACAGTTTCATCCGGAAACCATCCACCACCCCCTTCCATGAAAAAACTGTCTTCTGTGAAACCAGTCCCTGGTGCCAAAAAGGTTGGGGACAGTCAAAAAGGTTGGTGTAAATGATAACCTTCCCCAAAACTAAATTACCTCTGTAAAACTCATGAAAGGCCACCAAGTTAGAAGGATGAAAGAGGCGTGAATTCTACTAAGATGTATGCCTCGTTAAATAATTACCAGCCATTATTCCAGAGGTCGCAAGATTTGCAGCTTCCCCAACTACTGCTGTGAAGAACATCACTATTGTAGAACCTAAGATTGGCCTCTTGAGTTGTCTTTTCAGGCTTTTGCATTTCTGACTACTGGATGGCACCATTTGGCCTGAAAATCAACCAGTCCCTTAGCCCCACCCAGAAGCTGACTCAATGCAGGAGGGCCATTTTCCACGTCCCTGTGATTTCATCCCCAACAATCAGCACCGCCTAGCCCTAGCCCCCTCCCCACCAAACTATCTGAAAAACCTATTACCTCCAAGCCTTCAGTGAGATTGATTTGGGTAACAACTCTCTCTCCCACATGTCGTGGCTGGCCTGTGTCAATGAAACTCTTTACTGCAATGCCATGGTCTCCATGAATTGATATTGTGTGTACATTAGGCAGGAAGAACCCATCAGGCGGTTACATCTGCAGGATGGTGCCAGTTCTTTCCACAAAGGCTGGTCAGATACCCAGAAAGTATTTCTCCACTACTGCCTGGACAATGTGTCTCCCTGTCAATCTCCAGGGAATGGGGCCTGGATCAAGTATTTAGCATTCAGCAGTTACTACACGGTCACATAATCCCTCATTTTAATATTTTGCCATGCCTTCCAGTGGCCTAACTGGTCACCACGCCACAGAATCTTTACTTTATGATCTCCAAGGAGAACTCTCCACTCCATGTTTTGTGATTTGAGCAATGGAATAGAATCTGATACTGGTGGGATGCGGGAGGTCCCCAGACACTGGGGGAATCTCGACCCCAGCTGTGGTGTCCAGGCTCTTGACACCACCTCAAGAATGAAGTGAAGGATGAGTCAGCAAATAGTGAAAGAAGAGATTTATTGCAAAGCAAAAAGTACGCACTCAAGAAAGGGGAGTTTGGTATATCCAAGACAGAACAATGGGTTCTGGGGTTTCATCTTGATGGGTTTCTTCAACCAAGGAGTGGAATATTCATGAAAATTCCCAGGTAAAAGTGGAAATTTCTCGGAACTGTGGTGCGATCCATTTTTACATCAAATAATGATCTCAGAACCGTCATGGCACTGGTAGGTGCGTGATTTAGTATGTTAATGAGCATATAATGAGGGCCTAGGTAAAACCTACGTCTAATCCAGCCCTACATTGGGTCCAGTCTTAGCCAGCTTGGTCCACACCCTGGTTTTTCAGCGTCTTATCAGCCCATAGTCTCAAGTCATGTAAATCTACTGCCTAAAATTTGTTATCCTGTGACCACCCTATATTATTCCTGTCTCAAATCTACTTCTAAATATTCAAATGGTCTTTGACTTGGCCATTCCAACTTTGCTTACTTCACAGTGTTTGCTGCGTAATATGTAAGAAAAGATGATCCAGGCATTTGTTAAACATCTCAAATAAGATGTATCCCGGGTAGTTGTGTCAAATTTGGATTATTTTGGTTTTGTCTTTGCAGAATATAAAAAACTAACACAAGGTAAGGGCTAAGGTCTGGAGATGGCTGCCCAAGAGATGACAAAGTCCAACACCACGCTTGAGAGTGTCCAACCATCTCTTCTGGGGCAGCACAGTTTTCTACAATCCTGAATTTGGAAAACAAGCAACAAGATTCATGAAACTGGACAACTGTCTTTATAACATTACCAGTGATAAAACCAGTAAGGAAGGCTGGTTTGCAGTCATCCGACCTGCCTCTTTACTTTCATAAATACGGTTTCTCTCTGATAGTAAACGGCTTCCAATTTCAAGCGGAATGCTACATCACAAGGATAAGGATGTGAAGAGAACCGGTTTCTTTTGTAATCCTAACGTTCCGCACAGGAGTTTTTGCGAATTAAAAGCCATTATTTGAAGAAGGGTGCCCAGGATCCATCTGGCCGCGGAAAGGTTGCTCCGCAACACAGGCTACGGACCTGCTTCTTTGGGAGAGAACAGATGCCGGGGCGGGAGGGAAAAAGGGAGAGGCAGACGTCACTTCCCCCTGGCCGCTCCTGCAGCGGATTGGGCGGCTGAGTGGCAGAAAGGCAGACGGGGACTGGGCAGGGCACTGTCGCTGACATCACGGATAAGGCGACTTCTATGTAGATGAGGCAGCGCAAGGGCTGCTTCTTCGCCACCTGCTGCTTCGGCACGAAGGAGTTTCCATGCTGTGGAGCGGGTTCAGGACCGTTGGTAGGACTTGAGAAGCCCAGCTGTGTGTCAGGGCTAGAAGGGCTCGGGAGTGCGCGTGGCAAGTGACCGTGAGTGTAAAGGGTGAGGCGTATGAGGCTGTGGCGGGGCAGAGGTGTAGGAACTCATACTTACCTGGCAGGGGAGATACCATGATCACGAAGGTGGTTTTCCCAGGGCGAGGCTTATCCATTGCACTCCGGATGTGCTGACCCCTGCGATTTCCCCAAATGTGGGAAACTCGACTGCATGATTTGTGGTAGTGGGGGACTGCGTTCGCGCTTTCCCCTGGCTTTTTGTGTTTAAAGAATAGACTGTACAGTAAGGGTTATTTCTTTCGTCTGTTGGTTTGTAGTTTGGGCTGGTTTTCCAAGTGTAGTTTTAACAGTGGATGACTTGGGAATAGGAAATAACATGTCGCTTCTCTACCAGAAGTGATAGGAGCGTCAGCGGTTGTAACACAAGCCAACTTGAGTGAGGGCCGCACAGCTCTTTCCTTTCTAAGGACCAGCTCTTTGCAGAGATTGGTCCAAAGTCTCCAGTCTCTTGGATTCTCATTCTCTGTGTTTTTCTAACCCCCAGTCACTTTTTACACAGCCTCTGTTTCTAACGGCAGCTCCCACACGCGTTTGTAGGATTTCTGTGCTATCGGGGAATGTGTTCTCACCTCCTAGATCCAGGTAGAAACTACGTAGACGGGGGCTGTTCTTTGGGAAGAAAGCAAGGCCTTTGGGGCTCTACTGTCCCCGTTGGGTTGTAGACATAACACGCTTACTTTGCGTAGGGAAACGGCTCTGCCGGTGCCCAGCTGCCCTAGCCCATATTCATCCAGGCCCGCAGGTCAGAACCTGTCTTGGCCGAAATGCGCTGCGATCCTCCGTGAGGTATAAGGCGGGAAGTTTTATGTGGAGCCGGGTCCAGTTTCCTCCTATCTCCTGCCGTTTACGTATCTTGTCTTTCTTCAGACTTTATTTAAGCGACAGCTTCTTGTTTGAGGTCTCGCTTACACATCCTACATCCATTGCCAGGCAACTTTCTAGATAGCACCCCGACCCATCCTTCCCACCTCCAAGCAGCCCTTTCCTATTTCTGGTGCCAGTGTCCTCCCGTGTCCCTCTTTCTTCAGGCCCTCGCTTATCACCTTCATGGGCAGAAACTATTTAGCCCTCTCTCAACCTGCGGTGTACACCTGACACGGGTCAGTACCCTGGCAAATTCCTTAATACCCCTTCTCAAATTGCACTGTAAATGCATCTCTTTTTAACTCCCAGAAGTATCTGATTGGTTTTGTCCCTGCACTACATGAATTCCACTACAGAAGAAAACCCCAGGGCTAGCGATGGTGGTTCTGAGCATTGTGCCGGCTTCTCCCAGGGTATGTTTTCTGACCTCACCTACTTCTGATCAACTGAGGTCAGGAGTTCGAGATCAACCTGACCAACATGGTGAAACTCTGTCTCTACTAAAAATGCATTTAAAAAAAAAAAAAAAAAAAGAAAGAATAGCCGGGCGTGATGGTCTGTGTCTGTAATCCCAACTACTCAGGAGGCTGAGGCAGGAGAATCCCTTGAACCCGGGAGGCGGAGGTTGCAGTGAGCTGAGATCGCGTCATTGCACCCCAGTCTGGGTGACAGAGCAAGACTCTGTCTAAAAAAAAAAAAAAAAGAAAAAAGAATTAGTCCATCTGAGACACATTATTGGAGACAGTACAATCCTGCATCCAACAGGCACTTGGTGCAGATCTGAACCCATTGAGCTATTGGCTCTTGTTCCCCATGTTCTATTAAGTATCATGAGCAGAAATTGAGCTCTTTGGCTTTTACCCACTAAGTACGACTATAGGACAGGACTCTGTCTCACACACACACATTGTTGCATCATTATTTTTTTGCCATCAGTGTGGGTTTTTGGTTTTGAGGTTATGAAGTGAATTTCTGGGGACAATCTCTGTTGGGTCGTGTTGACCCTTGTCCCTGTTGACCATGACAGCTAATCTGGTCTGTGAGTCTTTTTTATTGTCTGTTTATTGTCCTGAGAATAATGGTACTTCCTGATACTTGAGACTGCAGCAATGATAAGTTGTTCAGATCTTGTCTTTCCAATGTTTGGTAAAAATATTATGGGTCCAATAGTTGTCAATATCTGCAAGAGTGGCATCTCTATTACAAGAGTGATGTTACCACTCAATGTCCCCCCTCCCACCCAACTTTCTTCCAAAGGAGCTCTTGGCTTGAACAAATTTACTATATCTAAAAGACATCTTAGTACAGGAAGGAAACTAAATCTGTAGCATGTAAGGAGCAGTTCTCTTTGATTGGTGTATTCAGGTTTCTAACCAGCTGAAAAATTCAAATACATGTTCTTTAAGGATTAAGTTTAAACCACACTACAGAAAGGAGAGAAAAGATTTATATGATCACATACAAGCAATGGAATCAGCACTTTTCACAACTATACAAATCAAATTTAATAATCTCCAGAACATTAAGGAAGTTCAGTCCTTAATGAAAATGAATGAAAAGAAATTATTCACCCACTGTTACATGCCCTAGAAAGAGAATGTCCTGCCCGACTCAAAATGGTATCACAATATTACTCAGATTTTCAGCAATGAAGGCCCTCCAAGGAGCTAATGATGTTCATGTTTTCAGTTTATTTCCTTCACTGATAAACATTGTTAATAGATACCATTGCCTCTCTTTTCACCTGAAGTGATGTTACTTAGCACAATTGGTTTCTTGAGAATGCCCCCTAGTTTGGTGGAAGTAATTTTCCTTCTTTATAAATATAGAATATTTTCTCATGAAACAAATTGCCATACTCTTTCGGTGAAGTGAATAGACAGATTAGGTCTCTAAAATGTTAAAGGAGTCACTGCCCCAATTATTTTAGGAACAATAATAATCACTTATATAAAATTAAAATAAGAAAATTAAGCCAGGTATGGTGGCTCATATCTGCAATCCCAGCACTTTAGGAGGCTGAGGAGGGAGGATCAATTGAGGTTAGGAGTTGGAGACCAGCCTGGGCAACAGAGTGAAACCCCTGTCTCTACAAATTTTTAAATATTAGCTAAATTTTTAAAGTTGGCAGGGCATGATGATGCATGACTCTAATCTCAGCTACTAGGGAGACTGAGGCAGGCTGCAGGGAACTATGCTTGTGCCACTGCCCTCCAGCCTGAGTGACAGAGTGAGACTCCCGGCTCAAGCCGGGCATGGCGGCTCACGCCTGTAATCCCAGCACTTTCTGAGAGGCTGAGGGGGGCGGATCACGAGGTCGGGAGTTCGACACCAGCCTGGCCTATATGGTGAAACCCTGTCTCTACTAAAAATACAAAATTAGCTGGGCGTGGTCGCAGCTACTCGGGAGGCTGAGGCAGGAGAATTGCTTGAACCTGGGAGGCAGAGGTTGCAGTGAGCCAAGTTGTGCCACTGCACTCCAGCCTGGTGACAGAGCGAGACTCCGTCTAAAAAAAAAAAAAAAAAAAAAGGCCGGGCGCAGTGGCTCAAGCCTGTAATCCCAGCACTTTGGGAGGCCGAGGCGGGCGGATCACAAGGTCAGGAGATCGAGACCACAGTGAAACCCCGTCTCTACTAAAAATACAAAAAATTAGCCGGGCGCGGTGGCGGGCGCCCTTAGTCCCAGCTACTCAGGAGGCTGAGGCAGGAGAATGGCGGGAACCCGGGAGGCGGAGCTTGCAGTGAGCTGAGATCGCGCCACTGCACTCCAGCCTGGGCAACAGCGTGAGACTCCGTCTCAAAAAAAAAAAAAAAGAAAGAAAAAGAAAGAGAAAAAAGAAAAGAAAAAGAAAGACAATTAAGAGTTTGTTGAAAATTGTTTTAGTAGAATGCTAGGCAGCATGTTCTTGCACCTGTACTCCCAGCAACTAAACAGGCTGAGGTGGAAAGGATTGCTTTAGGCCAGCAGTTGAAGACCAACCTGGGCAACAGGGCAAGACCTCATCTCTAAAAAAATACAAGGCAAGCTGAGCCACGAGTGTTGCCTGAGCCCAGAAGTTCCAAGTTCGTCAGCTATAATTGCCCTTGCTGCACTCTGGCCCAGATAACAGAGCAAGACCCTGTGTCTTATTTTTTATTTTCATTTTTTACTACTTATGCTTATTTATTTATTTGTTTATTTTTGACACAGAGTCTTGCTCTGTAGCCCAGGCTGGAGTGCAGTGGTGTGATCTCAGCTCACTGCAAGCTCTACTTGAAATGGGAAGTTTCACTGGGGAAACACATTTTCTTGTTGAATTTCTAACATGAAAAAATAATAGATTTAGCTGTAGATTAAATTAATGGTCTTGATAGTTTGGTATAATAAAATAAATGAAATGAAGTTGATAGCAGAGAGCAATCTTTCATGTTTTGAACAATTTAAATAATGTAAATAATATATGAAGATATGAAAAAGCTCATTACGTTATTATTATTTATTTTATTTTATTTTATTTATTTATTTATTTTGAGACAGAGTCTCACTCTGTCGCCTAGGCTGGAGTGCAGTGTTGCAATCTCGGCTCACTGCAAACTCTGCCTCCTGGGTTCAAGTGATTCTCCTGCCTCAATCTCCTGAGTTGCTGGGATTACAGGCACACA